AGTCTACAAAGGCTCCTGGTCTCAGCTTCCAGAAGTCTAGAGATTCATAATACCACCCTATTCATTCACTACATATCCCCCCTGAACACCTGCCTCGTGCCAGGTGTGGTACTAGAGGTGGACATGTCCCTGTCCCCATGTTGCTCTTGGGAAGCCAGGCTGACCTACGTCAGGCTGGGCCGGGCACGCCCTGGGTGCCGAGTGGCCCAGACCTGACTCAGGAGGTGGCTTCCCGGGGAGGGGATGCCTGTGTTGGAGCCTGAAACCAGGGAAGCCAGAGGCCGGATGGAGGCTCAGGCGCCTCAGCCCTGGGTGCCATCGGGACTGTTCTAGCACCTTCTGGCTCAGCCCCCTCTAGCCTGGGCCCTCCATCAGAGGCCCCGGTCCCAGTAAGTCTCTGATCAAAACCCACACGGGTCTGGGGTGTCCGTGAGTGGTGACCCGGTTGGAGCTGGCCTCAGTTCCTACAATGGAGGGTCAAAATGAATAGAAGAAACTCAGTTTGGGGTTACTACTTCATGAGGTTGGGTGATGTCTGTCTGTCTTCAGCAGGATATAGCATAAACTGGTGTGTCGCTCATCTTTTGCGTATAACAAGCCGCCCCATGTCTTCCTGACTACAGCAGTTTCTCATTTCTCACGGTATGTAGGCGGCCCCCGTCTCTTCTTGCCCGAGCGCGCACATGGCCACAGGACTGGGGTCCCTCTTCCAAGTGTCCAGCCTCAGCTGGGAGGGTTGAGGGCCATGCCTGTCCCTCATGTGAGCTTTTATCCTGGGCTTGGTCTCAGTGTGGTGGCCTCTGGCTTCCCAGATGTGAGGGTGGAACCACCAGGCTGCTCGAGGCCCACAAGCCCCCAGCCAGCCTGGGTTCCTGGGCAGACATAGGCTCGGCCTTCCAATCGGAGCAGATCCACAGAAACTTGACTCGCTGGACCCCATAACTACCGTGTGACTTCCCTCGGGTGGCGTGTGGACACTGCCTATGGCTTCCAGGGGACCTGCCATCCAGAGGCTCTTGAGACCGGCACCTTTGTCTCTGGCCTTGCCTCTCTGCCCCTTTGTGCTAGGAAATGGTCGGGTCCGCTGAGCAGACAGCACCCCAAGACAGTCTGGGCCACCAGCCCATCCCCTGGTACATCTGCACATCCCTCCACCTGTGCATCTGGTCAGAAACATGAAATCCAGGGTCGCAGTGGCCCCTGCCCCGTGGTCATGCCCCGTGGTCCTGAACTAGAACTAGTGTCACGGGGACCTACTCTGGGCTGCGAGGAGGCTGGGAGGGCGTGCTGGGTGCTGTCAAGAGCTGAGTCATTCGGATGTCTTCGTTTTCAACCCCTGGGGACCCAGTGCGTTGGTGGGCTGGTTGATGCTCCCTGAGAGGGGCACCCACACCTGCCTGGCTCTGTGTGGCCGTGGGTAAGTCACTCGACCATGTGGTGCCTCGGTTTATCTGTGAGGTGGGGGGGGTGGTAGTCAGACTGCATTGGTTAGGACCAGGCTCTGCTGTAGGCACAAGAAACCCCCATCACAGGGCTTCGGTCATACAGAAGCTAGTTTCTCTTTGTGTTAGAGATGAATGGGAGATCCAGGTGCGGCGCGGTGCCCCCAGCTGTCCCGGGTCGGGGGGGTCCCCACGGCCATGGGGATCACGTGCCAGCCGTGTTCCAGGGAGGCAGGGGGAGGAGGGCATACGAGATTCCTCACGCCCTGTCCTGAACTTTATCCATGGCGTGAACGCTGGAGCAAGATTGTGTGCTCGTCAGCTCTGGGGGCTTAGGGGTAGGGCCCAGGCTGGGGGCTGAGGGCTCCCAGGAGAAAATCAGGAACCCCCTGGCCACCCCTCCAGCAAGCCTGCGGCTCTGGGGGATGGAGCTGCAGGCCCAGCTGGGGAGGCAGTCAAAACAGAATCTGCCAGTGCAGAAAACCTCTCCACAAAAGTCACTGAATAAGGATTAAACCAGAGCTTGGTGCTCGTCACCCCATCACCGGCAGCCGCCCCATCTGCAGGGTTCTCCAGGGAGGGCACCAACCACTCACGGGGACCTGGCTTTGCTGATTGCCTTTTTCTGGGGGAAAACCACACTTGTCCCCTCTTTAGAGCCAGAAGTAGGCTTGCTGGAGTCCCTGTGCATGAGGCTCCTACCTTCCCAGGAAACTGGGAAAACTCATAGAGGCAGCTCCCGGCTGCTCGGGGATCTAACTGGGTTGTACAACTGGCCAGAGGCTTCTTTAGCCGTCAAAGAGATGGACGCAAAAAGAGGTAGGGAAAGAACTTACATGTTTTCTAAAGAGAATGCACTAAGAAAAGGGAGGAGAAAATCTGTTTCCTTTTTCTGCACCTGGGAGTATTAACCTTGTCTTATTTCTAATGTGCATTTTCCTGTACAGACGTCCCTGCCGGCCACTACTCAGAGCCCAGGTGAGGGATCCCAAGGCCCAGGGGGCTCAAGGGCCTTCCTGAACAAAAGCGTTTGGGGAGAGGGGTGTCTCTCAGGAGACTGCATTTCCAACCAGCCCCCTGTGAGGTCTGGGCTGCTGCTGGGGACGTCAGCCTTTGCATCTAGGCCCTGCAGGGGCCTGGTTGGGGGAGATGGGAGATGGGACAGTGTTTCTCTTGCAGCCCCTCGAACATGAGCCCCCGGCAAAGGAGGAGGAAGGGGCTGGAGCTGTCGGAAGTTCTCCCAGAGAGCCCTGGGAGATCCTGGACATGGTCCCAGTGAAGGCAAGAGGCTGGGAGACCTCCTCTGAGTGGGCTGTGGGTGAAGTGAGGTGAGAGCACCACAGGACCAGGAGCCCCACTGCCTTGCCTGGGTGGGGGGTGGTCCTCACAGCAGCGAGGCTTCCAGGGCTCGTAGGAAAACAGGAAGTCGGGGATTTGGATTCCCCTTGGGGAGGCACAGGTGGCTACAGACCCTGAGTCTCCCAGCTCAGGGGTGTGTCCAACACCTCAGGTGTTGTGTCCAATAAGGTAGCACTTTGAGGCCTGGCCCTCTGTGAGCACGTTTGTGTGGTCTCTGCTCTCTGGAAACAAAACCTTCCCTCGTTTCTGCAGAACACGCAGATGCAAGCCTGCACAAACAAAATGGGCTTCCTTTGGGCTGGGTTGAGCAGGCTGCCTGCTCGGCGGGGAGTCTGCTTCTCTCTCTGCTCTTGCTATCTCTTCCAAATACTAAAATCTTAAAAAAAAAAAAAAACATTTTATGTACTCATTAGTTCACGAGGGGACCAATAACATGTCACAGCTGGTTCCGAGGAGGATTCAAAGAGCAGATGCATAGACAGCTCACCCTTGAACAACGCAGGGGTGAGGGGCACCAACCCACCCCCCACAGTTGAAAATCCACTTACAACTTTTGACCCTCCCCCCAAAAAGCTTAGTACTAACAGCCTGCTGATGACTGGAAGCCTTGCCGATAACATGAATGATCAGGTAACACATATTCTGTGCGTTGTGTGCATTGTGTGCAGTGTTCTTGCAGTAAAGTAAGCCCGAGAAAATAAAATGTCAAGAACATCGTAAAGAGGAGGAAATGTAATGCTGTCTTATATTTATTGGGAAGAAATCCGCAGGTAAGTGGCCCTCTGTAGTTCAAACCCGTGTGTTCGGGGCTGAGGGAACAGTACTGGAATGCTGGAAGGAACTTGCTCTCCTAACAGGTGCAAAGCTGGCTTCCTCCGCAGAGGAGGGGGGACCACAGGTGGTCACATGTCTAGGGACAGGAGCCCGTGGCCTTGCTGTTGGTCACCTAGAGGCCCCGCAGAACCAGCCAGGGGCTCTGCTGCGTACCTTTTGGAAGACACCTGCGATCTTTGTGGTCTGCTGCGTCTTTTACAACGCTTCTCTGCAGAGGCTTAAGTTACGATATTACCCCTTACTTTTTTTTTTAAGGTTTTATTTATTTATTTGAGAGAGTGAGTGCGCACGCGCGAGAGAGAGCATAGAGGCAGAGGGAGAGAGAGAAGCACACTCCCCGCCGAGCAGAGAGCGCAACGCAGGGCTCGATCCCAAGACCCCGAGACCATGACCCCAGCCGAAGGCAGACACCCAACCGACTGAGCCACCCAGGCGCCCCAGCCCTTACTTCTTGAAATCAGTTTGTTGAACAAGCAGAACTCGTGCGCGAATCGAGGATCCTAAGCCAGCCTGGTTGTGATCCCCGCCCCCATCCCCATCCCTGCTCAGGCAGCTCCAAGACCGTCGTGATCACGAATAAATACGAGAAAGTGCTAGGACTTTAAATCTCAAGTCTCAATGTCGTAATTAAAATTGCCAAGTCCCAGGTAAAAACAAACACCGAACACGTCTCCAGGTGAAAATGCCTTTCGTCTTTCTCGCCTTCGAGGAAGGAATGTGTTCAGCTCCTCATCTCTTCCAACCTCCTAGCTGGGGGGCTGCAGCCAGGCTTGCGGGAGGGGAGGTCCCACTTCGTGCAAGGGGCTGCCTCTCTCCCTCCCTCCTCCCCCTCCTCCCCCTCCTCCTCTGGATAGGATATCCCCCTACTACCTTCCAGTTCCCAAGATGAAGCCGTGTCCCCCTCCAGCCCCTGGTTTCTGCAGATGAAGTGGGGGATGGGACACCAACAGTCCTTTCCGGAGAAAGAACACCCCCCTCTCCAGCCTTTTACTGCCCCCCCTCCCCCACAGGAGGCCCGTTCCTATCTCCTTTGGAAGTCTGCATGCGCTCTGGTGTGGTGTGGTGGCACCTTGTTTGCATTTCCAAAGTGAAGTTAAGTGTGTGTTTTCAGATGGGTTCCACACACACACGTGCAGGGAGGCCCACCAGTGGGGCCCCTGGCAGAGCGGATGCAGAGCACAGGGCCCACCGTGTGGCCATACAGAGCCCACCAGTCCCTCTCCTAGAGATGTGTCCTCATCTGTAAACTGGGCACACGCCAGCCCATCGTGCAGCAATATGGGGTGGACTGAGCTGAGCCGGCGAGGGGCTGGGTCCCTCTGATCCCCCTGCTGGCCCCACCCCATCTGTCACAGACAGGCCACCACTGCAGGTGTGATTTGGAAACATTTATTGCTGTGTCGGCACAGGCTGGCCCTGAGTCGCAGCCGCGCCAAGCTCACTCCTCCTTCTCGTCCCCGTGGGTGATGATGTAGCACAGAGACTTGTAGTCGATGTCCCCGGCCAGGTCCATGGGCGTCAGGGCGAACATCTGCTCCACCTGGGGGGGGGGGCATGGTAACAGGCAGCCCGGCCAGGGAGGCCTGGGGTGGCCAGTGGCCGTGACCTGAGGGAGACCTGTGACCCCTCACCCTGTCCCCTCTCAGCTCCAAACCCCAAACTCAGAGTTACCGTGTTTCTGTTGTCTGACTCTGGGCAGGCGAGGGAAACGGGGGTGGAGGGTGGGGGTCTCAAGGGGGCTGTGGGTTGGAGGGCCCACCTCGGCCATGGGATGCCTCCAAACCCTCTCTGCGCTGCCCTGACCCTGCACGTACAGAGCCTCTTCCAAACACCGGAGGTGCCTCTCTCTCATCCCTGGGCCTTTGCACACACAGCTCTCCCAGCCTGGCACACCCTCCTCCCTTCTGACTCCATGCCCTTCACCCTCTGGGGCTCGACGGAGGTGGTCCCACACAGCCGTGCTCCGAGCCCACAAGGCTGGTGGGTCACCAAGGCCTGCCCAGTGCCCTGCGGGGCAAGGGCCCTGTGAAGGGGTGGGGAGGGTGTCGAACGAGTTGGAGTCCTCACCTCGGCCAGAGAGAACTTGTCTGCCTGGGTCAGGAGAAGCTGCTTGAACCTGGGGAGAGCCGAGGGGTGGCCCAATGCGGGGGGCGGTGAAGGCTCCCCTGGCCCAGGCGGCCGCCCTCACCAAGGGCCTCCCCGCGGTTTCTGCATGGTGCCCCTTCCCCCTGCTCACACTTACTCATCCTTGTTCACCACACCTTTGCCACTGGGGTCGAACATGCGGAAGGCGCTCAGGATGGCTTCCTCAGGGTCTGTCCCTGGGAGCCCGGGGGAGCCAGGTGAGCAGCTGTGCCCACCCAAGAGGACCCCAGGGTGCAGGGGGCCCGCCACGTCCCAGAAGAGGTGGGAGGGTGTTTCCTGATACAGTGTCCCTTGGGGCTCAGGGAGGCCAAGACCAGCCGTCCTTGTGGGCAGGCCTGGCCAGGAGACTGGGATTTGGGATTTGGGATTTGGGAGGGAGGCTGAGTTGGGAGTCAGGGTGACCGGTGCCCATGGGTCTGGGAGGGAGGGAAGAACCCCACAAGCCCTGGGTGGGCCAGTGCCAGGGAGTGTCCAGTTGAGTTCTGGGTGGGGCTTAGTCAGATAACAGGCTGGGGGGACCCAATCCGGCCCAGGCTGACCATTCAGCTTCTCCCCGAAGAGCGTGAGAAAGACGGTGAAGTTGATGGGACCCTTTCCCTCCTGCAGCATGGCGTCCAGCTCCTCTTCTGGGACGCTCACCTTCCCTGGTTGGGGGTGGGGCACACCATGGACATGGGACCTGGGGGGCCCAGGCCGGCCTTCCCTCCTTCTGGGCCTCAGGGGGTGGAGAAGTGTGAAGGGATGGGGAGCTGTGACCAGTGGGGGAGGGGTGTGTGTGCACGGAGACAGATGGGGAGGGAGGTGTGAGTCGGGAAGGGGGAAGGCGGGCACTGCCGAGCGGGGGTGGGGTGGGGGGGGCTGTGCTTTCTCAGTGGGCCTCCCACCAGCTAGCTGAGCGAGAGCGGCTCCCCTGGTGTGAGCAGGCCCCACGAGCAGGGGGAAGGCAGAAGCACTCACCGAGCTGGGAGTAGGTCTCCCGAAGGTCTGACTTGCAGATAATGCCATCCCGGTTCTGGTCGATGCAGCTGAAGGCCTGCGAGGTGGGGGGCACAGCCTCCAAGTGGGAACAGCCCCCACCCCAGGGAAGGCCAGAGGTGGGGAGGGGTCCTGGAGCGTGGACGGTGGAGCAAGGACAGGGGCCAGGACCACTGACTACAGAGCAGAGGGGGTGTATGCAGGGTGGGGTGCCAGGACTGGTCCCAGGCCATTGGGGGTTGGGGCACTCACTTCCTTGAACTCCTGGATCTGGGCTTGCTCGAACATGGAGAACACATTGGAAGAGCCTCGCTGGGCCTGCTTGGTGGCCGCGGCCTTGCCCCGGGTCCCTGCCTTCCTGCTGGCCTGCAACACTGTCGGTGGGGAGAGGTCCTCTGCCCGGCTCCCCAAAGACTCCCCCCTTCCCATGCACACTCCCTGAGCATTCCCAGGAGAGCCTAGGTCAGGGTCCTCTTCCTACCTCTGGAGACTAGCTCTCCAGCCCCAGTGCAAGCACAGAAGTCCCTGGCTCTCTTCCCCCAGCCCACGGGACAGCACCTGGGAGCCTGCTGGCCTCTGGCTACCCCACCCGGCACTCACCATCCTCTCTCTATGGCGGCTGGGTTGCTGCAAGGGGCCCCCAGCCCCTTTTATGTTTCAGCCTTATCACCTGCAGCGCCAAATAAGGACAGGAAGAGAGGACAGGCCCAAACTTGGCAGCCCTGCCTGGGCTGGGGGAGGACAGGGCCCCAGGCAGATTCCAGCCACGTTCCTGGTGACCTTCAGGCCCCCTGATGTCTAACATCCCGGCATCCACCCATCCAGCAGCAAAAGCTCCCAAGGGCAGAGCTCACAGGCTCACAGCTCTCGCCACTCTGGGTGCTGAATGAGGTAGCCCCCTGCATAAGAAGTCTCCCCTGTGACCCCCATCTGACTGTCCCTCCTGCAGGTCCAGCCCAGAACCCGCCCAGTCCAAGAAGACGGCGTTCGGAGGGCTGGCCTGGGGCCTCTATTGGGCTTGGGAAGGGCAGTGGGTGGTTCTGAGGATGGTCTCTGGCCTGAGACCCCCAAGGATTCCCAGAGGTTTGGGTGGACGGTGGCCCTGGCCTCTGACAGAGGGGCAGAAGGCAGCCCTGAGTTAGTCGTGGCCCCAAACAGAATCTGTGTGAGGCTTTTGGAGCACGGTACATGACCTGGACCCCAAGGAACCCCCTGGACCCCCAAGAAAGTGGTCATGAGCCCTTCATGTGAGGCTCTGCTGTGCAGCCAGGGGTCAGACCCCCTCTGTTCTGCCCGGGCTGCAGGCTTGCCTGCTTCTTTAGGGCCCGGAGAAGGGCTGGGTGCTGGGGACCTTCTAGAACTAACGTTGTGGGCCCATTGGCTGCCCTCTTGGAACCTGGAGCAGAGGAGAGGACCCACTGGCTGCCCACCCTCCCTCCCCCGGAACCTGGCTCTGCACGGCTGCCCCTTGCCCCTGGGGGGACAAATGCAGAGACCAGCTGGTAGAGCTGGAGTTTGCATGGTGCGTGACACCCAATGTCCCTTGTATAACAAGAAGCGTTAGACAATAGCTCCTTTACTCTCCTGAAATGAAATTCATGAAATGTATAACCCACCCACAGAGAGACCTTAAAAAATCAATAGAATCCCCTGAACTGCAAGGAAAAGAACGACTAGGAATTAGTTTACGTCAAAACGGGATCCAACACGAGCGCCGAAACACGAGTACTGCGGATGAAGTAACTGGATGCTTGCACAACGTTCTAATGCATATTTTAGATTCAAGAGAACTAAAAACATCTGACCCGATCCCACAGCAGACACCCGGAAAAACGAGGGAACATCTCAGACCCGTAGCGCTGGGTTAAGTTCTGAATGAAATAACAGTCATTCCGGATTTGTTGGGTAGTTCCTCTCACTGAAGAGCAAGCATAGATTCTAATCCTACAAACGTGTGGACGTGTAACAGGGCGTAGCTGAGAGATGGCGCCAGGCCCTCGGCTTGGCTAACTCAGACTAGGCTCTTCACCCAGAAGTATCTGGAAGGACCTCAGCAATCACGTGACTTCGTGTTTCCCTCTCCCCCGCCCATCACTGTCACAACCCAAGTGGCTCCAGGGCGCCTGTCGCACTTCTCAGAGCAGCACCCCGGCCCGCAACTCCTTCCCAGGCACTCCCGGGGGCAATCACAGCCCACAGGTCCACACGCACATCCCACAGACGGCTAGCCGGGGGCCAGGGCAAGCCGGTGCGTCTGACCACCCTCCCGCCGATGCCACCCTATTCCTACAGCCCGTGTGTCCCTTCACACTCCCTGGCACAGCTGGCTGGAGGGGTTGGCGAATTTCGAGACACCCAGGTTTTAGAGCATCTGTGCACCTGTGACCATGTCTCCATATTGTCCCACAGTCCTTAGGCACAAAGATCAAAGAACACTTGTCAACGCCATGTTCTAAACTTTTTAAAACATTTACTTAAAAAAACCACACAGTCCCAGGTTGGACATGAGAGGCTGGTGTGGCACACAGAGGTCTGGTGAGAAGAGAGACCCGGGTGGTCCCTTGGGCGCTGGGTGCTGACGTCTTTTTCCACGCCAGCCCTGTGGGAGCTTAGGCCTCCACCACGGAGGTGCCCCCAGGCCTGCCTGGGGGTGGGAGGGGGAAGTCCTCCTCACCCTGGGTCCCTCTGGGCAGGCAGGGCCTCTGGGGGCCCTGTGTCTCGCACCACCTGGGAGGGTCCATCCCAGAACCACAAACCACTCATGGATGGCGGCAGGAGAGCAGAAAGGCTACCAACTCCAGGCCTTAGGGTACAAGCAGCCTCCGCTGTGGCATTTCCCAGTCCCAGGCAAGAAAACAGCCAGGCCTGGGTGACCGGCAGCCTCTGACCCCCTGTGGAACCCCGGTGTAGGTCTGGCCAGGTCAGCTAGGCTGCCTCCCCAGTGGGTTGAGTTCCCAGGCAGGAGCAGGGTCCAGAGCACAGCCCCCTCCCACAACAGGGCCAGGAGAGGCTGAGTCAAGCTGAAGGCTCCAAGAGGAGGCAGTACAGAAATGCAGCCAAGTCCTGAATGAGCAACTCCCTTCTGGGTCCTTGATTGCAGTGAGACAGGTGAGGGGCTTTGGGGGTCTCCACGCCTGCTCACCTCAGCCCCCAACCCAGTCAGGGCCCTGGGCTGTCCCACCAACCTCTGAGAGAAGAGGTCTGCTGAGGGGCCCCCAAATCCCCCGCGGGCCTTTCCCCATCTTCCGGGGTGGCAGCGGGGATGGGAGACATCCAGGATCCTTACAAAGAGAGACCTCTTTCCTGGGCGAGGCTGGGGGCACCTGTGGGGAGCGAGTCCCCTGGGGCCCAGGTCCAGCGAGCCACTGCTGCCTCCTTGCCTGGTGGCCTCCGCTGTCACTGGCCCAGCATGCAGGCCTTCTTGCAGGCCACCGCCGAGATCAGGGCCGCACCCCGGCCACTGCCCTCCTCCGACTCGATGAAGGTGATCTCGCAGCTGGGCGTCAGCCTGCGCACGCTGGCGTGGAACCTCTCCTTGAAGCTGCGCAGGGGAAGCGGGGCTGCCGTCCCTCCTCCCTGCACTCCCAGACCGCCTCATTCCTGCCCCGCAGCGTGAGGAGGAAGCCCAGGGGGCCCTCCCTCCTCCTCGTCTGGGGGCCCAAAGGGGACGAGGGGCTAACCCTTGGGACTTCGGAGAGCTTATTTTCGCTTGCCTTCCGTCCTCCGAACGCACACCCACGAAGGGCCGCTGGGCCCGATGGGGAGGGCGGACGACCACGTGGTCTCACCTGGGGTGCAGCTTGTACACGGAGCCGTCCACGCCCACGGTGATGCGCATCACGTCCTCGCTGCGGCTCTCGCGCATGCGGTTAATGACGCCCGCCAGCCCCGCGGCGCACATGTGTGCGGCGCGCGTGGACACGCTCTCGCAGGCGCGGCGCACGATGTCGCAGTCGGTGGCCGAGGGCCTCAGCCCCAGCGTGCTCAGGATGTTGTAGATCTGCTTGCGGTCGCCTGAGTCGCTGTGGGGCGGGGGCGGCCGGGGGGGGGGGAGGGCGTCGCTGGAGGGTCGCTCGGCCTCCGGGCCAGCCAGACCCCGACCCCGACGGCGGCGGCCTCTTCCCCTCCCCCTGCCCACCTCACCCAGGCAAAGCGCTTGGGGCTCGGGCTCCGGAGGGGAGCGGGTCCGATTCCGCCAGGGACCAAGCAGTTAGCTGGTCATTGCGCCTCTAAGCCCAGGGTCTCCGCTCTAACGTGGGCGACACCGGCGCGCCCCGGGGCTGTCGCATGAAGTGAGGCGATGTCCACGGCGGTGGGGAGCCACGGAGGGGACGCGTGGGCTGCGTCAACTGCCTGGCTGCGGGCTCCCCTGCGGGCCACGCGCTGCCCGGGACCCTCGCTCCGAACCCCGGGCCGGGGCCCCGCCCACGCCCCGCCCACGCCCCGCCCACGCCCCCTGCGTCCACGCCGCAGACCCTCCCCCGTGTACACGGCCCCTCCCCTGAGCACGCCCCCCCCGCCCCCTCGCGCACGACCCCCTAGACACCGCCCCTCGCCCGGCGCGCCCAGCGCACCTCTCCACCTGCGACACGAAGCGCGTCTCGAAGGCGCCGCGCGTGCGCAGCTGTTCCGACGCCTCCCCGCGGAAAAGCAGGTTTTCGTCCACGAGTTTTAGCAGCACGAGCCGCACCAGCTCGCCCATGTACTTGCCGCCGATGAGCTTCTCGTACCTGCACAGAGGGCGGTCAGGTCATCCCTGTCATGGAGGTCTCCACGCGCGGCCACGAGGAGGCCAGGTGGGGCACTGTGACACCCCGCTGCCAAACTTGGGTTCGTGCCCGTCCCCTCATTTATCAACCAGGATTTTAGGATTAGGAAGCGCTCTGGGGCCTCAGGACCGCACCCTGCCCTACTGCAGGGCGTCGGTGCAGGCTGCGCGACCTTCCTCACGAGGGCCCGGCGCCGAGCCCACTGCGTTCTCCCACAGCCGCGTGATGGGAGCTGTTCTCGTTGCCCCGGATGGTTGGGAAACTCAGGCTCAGACAGACTGGGGCCCTGCCTGGGGCCCTGGGCTCCTGGGATCCGCCGAGCTAGCAGCACTCGCGTGTTTCACATATGTGAGCCTCTGCATTTTCATCTCGAAGTGCACTGAATCCCACCGACCCAGCGGAGGTTTCGGAGCGGATGCATGTGCCCGGCAGCTAGGCGGTTAATTAGGATAGCCATGACTCAGGACGAGCTCTGTGCGGGCTGGGTCTCAAGCTGTTCAAGCCAAACCGCAGCATTCCGCGAGAAGCACTACTGTTCATTCTGCGACCGTGGACAGATGTCTACTCCGGGGAACTCTGGGCTGAACCCGCTGAACGTTGCTCGGGGGTCTCAGAGCCTCCCTATGCAGTGGTCACCTTCCGGGCCGGGGGGGGGGGTGATCCTGGCTCATGTATCCACAGACCCTTTTTTTGGGGACTAAACCTTCATGTCTTTCACGGTTCCGGGTTCACAGGGGGCGAGTGAGCGCAAGAAGGGAGGAGCTTGCGAAAGGATTGTCAGTTTGCTTTTCCCCAGAGTTGTTTAAAAACAAGCCCATTATCTGCCTGCCTGAGCAGGGCGGGGGTGGGGGGCGGCA